TGATGATTGATCTATATCAAGAATAAATTTCTTTACCTGAGATAAGAGATAGATTGTGGGACACCTGAAAACCTTCACAGACTACTAATAATCCTTAGAAAGATTGGAAAGTGGGTGAAGAAATTCTAAGCTCATACTTCTGTCTTTATATTCTATTAGATAAACAAATGAGGGCCATGTTGGGCAGGTTAGCTACTGTAAGCAAAGGTCTCAGATGTTGGCACCAAGGCTCTCTGTCCTCGGATTTCTCTGAATAGCTTAGCAGGGAGTCTCCATGGTGTAGGTATAAAATGAACCAGTGAAGAATTTTAGAAAATTATTTGTTTGTTTTCTCCCATAGAGTGTTATGAAGGTTTTAGCCCAAAATCTAAGGAAGCAGAATGATGATTTCTAGAAAACACAGGTGAGATGAAGCCAAAGTGTTATTTACACAAACATGAAATCACATCAGCTCCTTCTGAATGCAGTGTAATAAGCTGCTTTTCTTAGGAGTAATGAAGCTTGAGACAAAGATGTTTTTCCTCACTTACAGGAAAGCGTTTCAGAGAGCTGGTATCGCATCTGTTCTATACTAACGGTTCCTTTACACTGACCCAATCCAGGAGTGGTGAGAAGCATGTAAATTGTCCAATGAAATCCTGCTTGTGGTTTGGAAGGAGGAGAAAATAATATGAACACATCACCTTTGTTTCTAAGCATGCCGAGAAGCTGTGTTTTAAAAATCCTTTCCAAAGCACTGGGTCCTCTGAGGGTGCTTGATCAGTGAATTGTCAAGGTGAATTTCCATCTACCAGTTCTCCAGTTTTAGATCTAGTAAGATGATTCCAAAAGAATAGAATTGCACAGTAAAGCAAGCTAAGAAAAACATATCTACCAATAGTGGGGGAAGATGCCAGGCATGACACGGAGAGAAAGGCAAAAAATATTGACAAGGAGACGGAAAACTAGATAGACAAAGAGCAATGGCAACTTTGAATGCCAAGAATAATGTACCCATGTTGGTACCCTGAAGTACGGGCAGTTTGAATTCAATGCGAAAAGAATTACATAAACATCTATCACACTCACATCCTTTACCACTGACTTTCCCGTTCATTTTCTACTAATGCTTCTCTCCTCTACACTCACTCAACATTCCAATTGGACTCTATCTTTGTGCCTTCTTAGGGTGGCAAATGCTTAAATAGTCTGTTGCTGCCACAGCCCACTTAACCCATCTCCTTGACTTGACATTCCTGAGGCTTGTGTCCCAGTCCAGTGAGGCTCATTCAAACACTAAGTGTCCCATATTAAGCTCTCCAGGATTCTCTTTCAAGTCCCCTCTCACCATAGAGTCATGCACTGCACAAGGACAGTCCAGTCAATGATGGACCACGCATATAGTGGTGGTTCCCGAGGATTATAACATCATATTTTGACTGTACCTTTTCTATGTTTAACTATGTTTATATACACAAATACCATGTGTTACAATTGCCTACAGTATTCAATATAGTAACATACTCTACAGGTATAGCCTAGAAGCAATAGACCACACCCTACAGCCTAGGTGTAAAGGTAGCCATACCATCGAGTATGCACTATGATATCACACAATAACAAAATCACCTAATGACACATTTCTTAAAATGTATCTTTGTTGTTAAGTGATACGTATGTGTACTTAAGCAAAAAGGCTCTGTACTTATGTTCCTCCCCCAGTGAACTCAGGCACAGCTTCTGCTAAAGAGAGCCTCTTCACAAAAATGCTCCATGGGCTGGGCACAGTGGCTCACACCTGTAATCCTAGCAGTTTGGGAGGCAGAGGTGGGCAGATCACCAGAGGTCAGGAGTTCGAGACCAGCCTGATCAACATGGTTAAACCCTGTCTCTATTAAAAATACTAAAATTAGCCAGGTGTGTGGCAGGCATCTGTAATCCCAGCTACTTGGGAGGTTGAGGAGGAGAATCACTTGAACCTGAGAGGCAGAGGTTGCGGTGAGCCAAGATCGTGCCACTGTACTCCAGCCTGGGCAACAGGGCAAGACTCTGTCTGAAAAAAAATAAAAAATTCTCCCCAATCTCCAATTTGTTATGCTACCTACCCAGTTTGTAGTTAACCTATTTTGAAATTTGGGTATTGTTTTCTGGTAACTCCCACTAAAAATTCACATCTATTTTTTTCCTTAGTCCCTTATTAAAAACTTCTAATTCCACATCCTGTTATACAGTCGTCAGCATTTCCTAATTTATGATAGTGCAATTTGGTGACATTCCAAATAATCTAAGTCTTTGAATATTGTTACAATCATCTTTTTGTGAGTACCATATGGTTAGAACTGGAATTCTTCACTTTCCACTCTCAGATTTTTGCTCTGTATAATTTTTGTATTTTATTATTCATTTTATTTATGATACTGGGTTATCATGCAGAAATGCTTGGAAATCAAGCTGTTACGAATAGTGTGATCCATGTGGGAATTTTCCAGTAGATTTTTGGGTTGGTCGTACGCATACGGCATCAAGAACCCACAAGAAATACAGTTATTTGTTGAGGCCTATCTATGAAGAGAACAATCAGCTTTTCTTTTAAAAAGGGCATGATGATTACTAAAAAATGTGCGTCATTATAATCACAGTAGTGGTCTAAACCAAGCGAGAAAAAGGACATATGCAATCATATGGAAGGTTAACCTCATTCATGCTTTGCAAAATGTTTACTCTATGAAAATGTGTTCTGGAACCACACTGCTGCTACACGCGATTCCAGGAAACATTATGAACATTAGGATTTCACATGCCAGACTGGCTTCAAAAGTGGGTACACTAGCCAGAGAACCCACAGGGAATAAAAGAGCACTCTGGTGTCATGTTGCTAGGAGTGCCAAGTTCTCATGGGCTTGGGGGGTTGGGAAACAGACTGAGGATCTTGGATTGGAGAAGAGATGTCCTTTGTAATTATACCAACTAGGTGTGTTCTTGGTGGTCCAAATCTGCACTTTTCATTTTCTGAAAGACTACAAAATTTATTTTGTTTGTTTATCATCAGCCTCTCTAAAATGTAAGTTCCATGAAGGTAGGGGCCTTAATTTTGTCCTCTGTTATATCCTCTGTGCCTGGTACCTAATTTGTAAAAGATTTCTATAAAGAATGATGAACTAAGAAGAAAGAGTGAATGTATGGGAAAGTAGGCTTTTGTCTCAACACAAAGACTTTTTGGCCAGGAGCGTTGGCTCACCCCTGTAATCCCAGCACTTTGGGAGGCTGAGGGGGGCAGATCACAAGGTCAGGAGTTCAAGACCTGTCTGGCCAATATGATTAAACCCAGTCTCTATTAAAAATACAAAAATTAGCTGGGTGTAGTGGCGGGCACCTGTAGTCCCAGCTACTTGGGAGGCTGAGGCAGGAGAATCACTTGAATCTGGGAGGCGGAGGTTTCAGTGAGCCGAGATTGAGCCACTGCACTCCAGCCTGGGCAACAGAGTGACATTCCATCTCCAAAAACAAAGACTTTTGTAACTATGTACACTGAAAAGTTGGCTGGCCTTCCCCAGGAAGGGTCCTTCTCCAGAGAGCCAGAAGAAACCTAATGATTGTTGGGCTGGGACATCTGATGAGATGACACATCAGAGGTGTTTGGCCACTAAGGTCATTTACAGCCTCATAGTTTCAAAGATGAGTATTTACCAAAGATTTTGGAATGGACGAAGCCCTGGACAATTGTATTGTAGAAAGTAAATAACTTGACAACTAATTGAACTTGGGAAATGGCGGATAAGGAGTCAGAGATGGCACTGAGACTCTCAGCCTGGGGATATTGGTGCCATTGAGGGGAAAACTGCATTTCAATAGAAATGCTGATTTGTGTCAAACTTTAGGCAATGATTAGAAAACCCAAGTTTAGTATGTCAGTAGACCACAAAGGAGATATCCGCTCCTATGTGGATATCTATGTGGATAGAGATGTCCACATAGGAGTGAATATCTCCTATGTGGTCTACTGACACACTAAACACACTCCTATCCATTACATAGGTAATTATAGTCAGGCAGATGAGAAGCTCAGGGGAGGCTGAGGCATGATATATCCATTTATCAGAATAATTCTCTCCACAGGAAGATATCTCAGGATAATGCTTAAAAGGTGCCATAAGTGAATAGTCTATTTAGCTATAAAATTTCTTATAATTATGTAGAATGCAGGTATCATACCTCCATTTCATAGTTGAGAAAACAGTGGCCCAGAGTGATTTTATTGCTTATAAGTGACAGAACTCTAACTTGAATCCCTGTCTTAAGAGTCTGAGCCTGAAGCTGCTTCTTCAGCGTTCTGCTCCAGTGAGCTGTGAGTCACAAAAACGAGGCTCCTCCCTACCTTGGGACTGACTAACTGGCTGCTTATTAGCAGAGAGAGGGTCCACCACTTGTCCTTGAGGCAACTGTGAACAGCCCCTCCCCATTCGCAATTCCAGTGCCAGTGCTTACCACCTGCTACCAGGGACCCTCACAATAAAACTGCAAGTTAATGATGGCTACATCCGCCAAACATTCTTGGATGGGGTGGTACAACCTGTTCCCCAATATAAGGCTATCAAAGCGATGTTTTGGGTTTTTTTTTTTTTTCTTTCCTCTCTCTCTCTGTCTCTAGTGATGATGTTCACTGTGAGAAGAACCAATGGGTAGCTGAGTATGGTGGCTTGGGATCTAGGGCAAAATGAGCTCAACAGGGATACATGAATAAGCTGTTAAAGCCAAGTGGAAATGAGAAATAGAGGGAGATGGAGAGGCAGATGAAGAAGGCATTAGGGAGTATTGAGAGAACATGGAGTGAAAGCTGTTGGACTGTGGCTTCAGGAAAGGGAGCATTTGCCCATCTGCAGCATTATAGCATCCCTTTATGCACACTGGATTTACTCTAGCAGGCAGGAAAGATGCCAGAGACCACAGGAACACTGGTGGTGGGAGTGGGGTGGGGTGGGCAATGAACTAGGAGTGCTTTGGAAAAGTAATTTTCTGTCTCAAATAGCTGACAGTAGCACCGCTATAATTCCAAAGAGTTTTGCAGGAAAGCTTTTATTTGCTACACAAGAAAGGCTGGGCAAGTAGATTCCTAGCTGGTAAGTAGATTCCTAGTACCCACAGAAGGTACAGGCTGGGTCAGTTTTTATTTAAGAGGGCAGTGGTTTGCATTGGAAAGCTAAAGGATTCAAATAATGGTTTTTTTTTTTTTTTTTTTTGCTTGCACTTTTTGTAATCATAATTCAGCACTACTAGATTAAGGCATGTTCCATCAAACTAAAAATCAAAAGCTTTCCTGTGGGGAAAGTCTCAATGTTATAGCTGAAAGAGGTGACAGCCGCATTACTGCCATCAAAAATAATTTATTAACCGTGTCTGTGCAAAGTACTCTGGTAGGTACCAAACCCCAGGGGCTTCCTGTTTCAATGCATCCTCTGCTCTCTGCAGTCTCTTCAGTGTAACGTTTGGTTCTCCACCTGTGAATAAAATGGATACCTTGAAAACTTCATCTTTGTGGAGACTATCACAGGACAAGGGAATGCGGACTCCATCATCCACGCCAATCAGACAGTGCTGGGGAAGTGTATTAGGAAGCTGCCTTTCTCAACCTTATATTCTTAAAGCTTGTAAATAAAAACTTCTCCTCTTCGGTTTTCAGTTTAGACCAGGAAATCTGGATAGGGTTGGCAAGCAAGGTTTTGCACCAGCGGCATATATCATGCTAACACTGGCTCTTTGCCCCTTGCATCGGCAGGTACCACACAGGTGCCTCCCTAGCCAAGGGAAGAAACCGGCAACGGAATTTGGGAGTCCAATCCCAAATCGTTTTATATTTACCTCTCACAAACACTTGCCTCATAACGTATGTATCTGTGCGTACACTTACATGCAATGACAACATTTTAAGGCAAGTTCACACAAATGGCTTGGAGAGATCTGACAGGTCTGATTGCACAAAGGTCGCCCGCTCCATGCATCTCTCAGGAACTCAGGCAAAGGTGGCCCTCCATCCAGCCGCACCGCCATCAGGCAGGGGAGCGCACGGGCACCCTCCCACCCGCATCCGCCCCCGCCCCCTCGCCCAGCAGCTTCAGTCTCTGACCCCACTGGATGCGTTCAAGAGACAGGCTCACAATCGGTCGGGAAGCTGCTTTTGCCACCCCCGCCCCCGTCAAACGGGGGTTTGCTTGGATCATTTATTTATCTTGTGTGCATTAAGAAACCAGCATTAGGTGCTGGTGGGAGGCGCTACTCTGCCGGAATCTCAGCCCGCCGCGGCGGTTCTGCACATACACCCGCATCCGCCTGGAGACGCCCTCGGCCCGGGGTCCGCGTCCTCCGGAGCCCCCGACGCAGTCTCCCGCTTTGGCTCCCCACGCTCAACCGGGCAGGGCGCCGGGGAGTGATTTCCGATCCTCTGCTTGCTTGTTGGGTCCCTCGGAGGCGGGTCAGACCGCACCCGCCGCGGACGCCCGGAGCGCCCCCAGCCCCTGGCTCACGGCGGCGACAGCGGCGCGGTTCGCTGGAGTTTGACTCTCTTCGGGCGGCGGCGGCGGCGGCGGCGGCGGCGGCGGCGCGGAGCAGCGGGCGGCTGGAGCTGGCGAGCCGGCCGCTCGCCCTCCGCGCTGCGCTGGGATTGGTCTCTCCGGGAGAGCGCTGGCCGAGGGTTGGCTGCGGGCCGGCTGAAGAACAGGTGCACCTCATCGCCCGGGCTCGCCGAGCAGCAGCCGACGATCGCGGCGCCGAGGCCGATCCTCTGTGTCGGAATGCGGCTGGCGGGCACCCGGCACCCCGCGGCCGGCCGGCGGGGCCACTGAAGGCGGCGCGAGGCCCAGACGCGGCGCGAGCGGGCGCCCCAGGGAGCCGGCCGGGCGCGGTGCCCCGAGGATGCCGGCGCGGCTGGAGCGCTCGCAGGCGGCAGGCAGCAGCAGCAGCAGCAGCGGGCGCGGGGCCCCGGCGCTCAGGAGGCCGCTTGGCGGGCTGCAGACGCGCCCCGCCGCTCCCTGACCGACCGGCGGCGCCGGGGGCCCGTCTCGCCCCTCTTCCGCGCTCCTCGCCGCCCCCTCCCCGGCCCCGTCCCCGTCCCCGTCCCCTCCCCCGCTCCTCTCCTCCCCGCCCGCCGCCCGCCTCTCGGGGGGAGGGGCGTGGGGGCAGGGAGCCGATTTGCATGCGGCCGCCGCGGCCGCTGCCTGCGCCCGAGCCCGCCGCCGCCGCCGCCGGAGCCCGCGCCCGCGCCCGGCCCGCGCAGCCCCATGCCTCTGGCGCGGCCCTCCGGGGGGCGAAGGTGAAGACCGGCTCCTAGGATGAGTGAAGGGGCGGCCGCTGCCTCGCCACCTGGTGCCGCTTCGGCAGCCGCCGCCTCGGCTGAGGAGGGCACCGCGGCGGCTGCGGCGGCGGCAGCGGCGGGCGGGGGCCCGGACGGCGGCGAAGGGGCGGCCGAGCCCCCCCGGGAGTTACGCTGTAGCGACTGCATCGTGTGGAACCGGCAGCAGACGTGGCTGTGCGTGGTGCCTCTGTTCATCGGCTTCATCGGCCTGGGGCTCAGCCTCATGCTTCTCAAATGGATCGTGGTGGGCTCCGTCAAGGAGTACGTGCCCACCGACCTGGTGGACTCCAAGGGGATGGGCCAGGACCCCTTCTTCCTCTCCAAGCCCAGCTCTTTCCCCAAGGCCATGGAGACCACCACCACGACCACTTCCACCACGTCCCCCGCCACCCCCTCCGCCGGGGGCGCCGCCTCCTCCAGGACGCCCAACCGGATTAGCACCCGCTTGACCACCATCACTCGGGCGCCCACTCGCTTCCCCGGGCACCGGGTGCCCATCCGGGCCAGCCCGCGCTCCACCACAGCACGGAACACTGCGGCCCCCCCGACGGTCCTATCTACCACGGCCGCGTTCTTCAGTAGCAGCACGCCGGGCTCCCGACCCCCGGTGCCAGGAACCCCAAGCACCCAGGCAATGCCCTCCTGGCCCACTGCGGCATACGCTACCTCCTCCTACCTTCACGATTCTACTCCCTCCTGGACCCTGTCTCCCTTTCAGGATGCTGCCTCGTCGTCTTCCTCCTCTTCCTCGTCCTCTACCACCACGACACCAGAAACTAGCACCAGCCCCAAATTTCGTAAGTAAACAGTGTGTCCCAACTATGATTTACTACTGAGTTTCCTTTCTGCCCTCCTGCTGTCTTTTCCCTTCACCGCCTGCCTTCTAGCAAGCCCCCTCCCCCATCCCAGGTTTGGGGCAGAGTGAGAGCTGGTTGAAACTGTCCACCAGGGGGTAAGAAGGTGCCAGCCTGTTCTGGGTCTGAGGTGGGGGTGGTGGCGTGTAGGAAGGGGAGGGAGATTGTCAGGCTCCATGGGCCCCACTTTAGCGGGTCCCAAATGAGAACACATCTCCTAACTCCCTTTGAAGGGTTAACGCGAGTGCGATCCCTCCTCACTGCAGACCTGCTGGCGAGCTGCGGGATCCCGCTCCAGTAGAGGGCCCGGGAGGAGAGAGGGCCTTCTCGAATGCACTGAGTCCCTTCTCTGCCCGCCGGTGGGAAGGAAAGAAAGCAAAGCACATGCAAATTGAACTACGATAAACCACAAAAGGAAGTTATGTCCAAGTGTGGGTGACGATTTAATGGAGATCTTGGTAGAATGTAGCTGAAGACGCTTCCAGCAGCTCTGACCCGGGCAGGAACCAGAGAGGGTTAATTAGAAACCATTGGGAGACTTGGGAAAGGGGCTAAACTGATCACCTCCTAGCCTGCCGGTGGCCATTCCAAGGTGTAGACATTAATTCTGTGGCCGCGGAGAGTGAGTTAGCTAGGAGGAAATAGGAAGGGAGCCCTGCAGAGCTGCCACCTCTAGGGTCCTGACGAAGGAGGAGTTTTTTTCAGCCCTGCCAAGCCTTTGCTTTTGTTCCGTTCCCAAAGGTGGGGTGTGAACCTTATCTCCTCTCCCTCTGTGCCTGAAAAATATGCGCGAGTTGGGAGTTTTCTGCACTTAGGGGTGAGAACATCCAACCGTTTGCAAACATGTCACCGTTAGAATGTAGCATCTTCAACCTGCGCTCAGTTGGTGCGAGTATGGGCCAGTATACCCAAAGCATCATCGTTTTCTGTTTATTTGTATAGAAAGTGCATATTTTCTCAATATTTCTATAAATGTTTTAGGTGACTAATTGACCTCCCCCCCCTTCCCCCCCACCTCCTTCTTGTTCAAAGGAAATTTCAGGCATCTTTTAAGCTGATCTGATCAGGATATGGGAACAGTTTGTGCAACCTGTGAAGGTTATTTAGGACAAACCCCAGCCTGCTAGTTCAAGTTCTGTGCAAGGCTATTTTGCAAAAACTGTCTGGTTATGCTGTCTTTATATTGCATTTGTGTTTTGAGCCATAGCATCTGGGGGAAAAAAGAGTGTTCGTCATTAACTCTTCAGTGATGGTGGGAAAATCGGGTTTACTTTGAGTTATCTGCTAATTTTTAATCTCCCTGACCTATGATCTTACCCTGGGTGTTACTTAACCCTTGCAACTGTTTTGTTTTTAAAGCATTTAGTGTATTTGTAAGTAAGGTCCAGGAGAGGGAAAGGGAAAAACAAAACAAAACAAAAACCTACTTTGCTTTGGAAAAAACAGCCTAGAAGATACATTGGGAGACAGGGAGGAGAGAAGGAAGGAATCTGCCATAAACCAGAATGGCAGTAGAGCTAGTAACTTGCTGCTTCTCTCCCCTTTGGCTGAAGCAGTCATTTTTGAGAGCACATTTTTCAGGAGGTGTTTAGAGCCTCCACTCAACAAACCTAGCTTGAGTTTTGTGGAAGGATAAAGGATTCATGAGTGTATGTGTGATCATATTCAATGGATTGAAAATAAGTCTATCTTGAAGACCCAAGATTTTTGATCTGCTTTTTTGATGCAGTTGATATGAATAATGGAGTGTGGTATACCTCAACCCTTGTATGCATTGGGGGAGGAGGGAGGACTACACATGGTAGGGGTATTTCATGGTCTTGCTCAATTGATTTCCTTGCATTCCATTCCGGAGGTCTTTAAAGAAAAGCCCAAGGTAATTATTTCTACCCCTCAGTGCTCTCTTCCCACATTCTATGGAAGGGAATGGCAGCCTGTTTAATAAGTAATGATTATTGACAGGGCCCTCAGCCCCAAGGAAAAGAGGGGAAAAATCGGTAAATGGTGTCAATGTTCACATAGACATATAAGCAGTATTTATTTGTTTTATTTGTATTTTAAGTCCAGCTCTTTCTCTTTTTTAAACCTTTACAAGAAGTTGAATTAAGATATGTAACACAAGTATGCAAAATCCAGAAGAAATTGACCTGGTTTGTATCTGTCAACAAGGGAAATTTTAATGAAAGGGGGATTATGTAGTTTCCATAATATGAGAGTTTAAATAGGGAAGTTGTATGGTGATTTAAAGAGAGAGGATAGTTTGGTTAATTTTTTCATCCAAGATTGCAGGATGATTAACAAAAGGAAATATAAGATTTCATTTGAGGGATTATCAGCAATGCTACTGTAGGGTGAAAAATGCCTGAATCACTGGTGTTCATATTTTTCACTTGTTTTGATTATGCCACTAAAGTTCCCAGGAGATAAATTTCCTTTTCCCCAGGTCCAACCTCCATATTTTAGTGGGTCTTTTCGACCCTTTCTTTCTTTCTTCTTCTTCTTTTTTAATGAAAGTAATGGATTCTATTGTAGTACTTGAAGTGGTTAAATATGATGCTCTGTTTTTTTTTTTTTTTTTTTTGACTAACCCACAAATTCTTTAATGGCCAGGATCTTTGCTCTTGATTTGGATATCTCAAGGCTTATGGAATGAATGTCTTTGTGATCATCTTAGATCAATCAGAAGGATCCTGTCTGTAAAAGGCAGCATAGCTCTTTGGAGTGGAAGAGGCTGGTTCACTGACAATGAACACACTTGCTAATGGATAATAGGATTTTTTTCAAGTGAAAGCCATTTTGCTGTGAGGAAGGCCCAGTTAGAGAACTGTTTCTAATATTCTGTAGGATTAAAGACAAAAAAGGATTGAACTTGAAAGGCAGGAGGAGAAAGTTGGGTTTGCAGGTAGACTCTTCCCATCTTCCACTGTTTAGGCGGTGAGCTGGACCAAAACTTTCTTCAGTGTTACTGGGATTCTTGGGTTTCCAATGGCCTAATACTTGCTTGCACTTCACACTCTAAAAACGAATATCTTAAACATATTGCCAGAGGAGATAATTTCACCAAAAACATCTTTGAAGCATTTTATATTTGAAAATATAGGTTAATTGACAAGTTTATCAAGCCAAAGGGAAGTTACTACAGACAGTAGAGAACAGTGATTTTGATCAATGTACAATCATCCTTTCCCTTTTACAGCTCCTTGAATTTCAATGTCAGATTTGAAACATAGTTGTACAATATTGCCAATGCAAATGTGGATTGTTTTAGAGACTGGTAATTCTTCTACTAAGCTGATAGCACTGTTTAACAGGTGATAGCCCAGAGTCATTGGCTAAATTCAAATACTAAAGACAAAGAGCCTCTTTTAATAGGTTTTTCTTTGGGTCAGATTTGGAAGGTATATAGTTAATTGCAATGAATATCACAAATATCAATAAGTGTCTTTATGAAGAAATAAATGTAGAATGTACATTTTATGTTTAAGCAGGGTATGGGGGCAATTTTAATTTGATCAAGTCTTTTTATATAAAACTTTACCTGGTCATAGCTACTGTAATTTTTAAGAGAGGCATTGAAAAAATCAACTATTTTCTTATTTATTCTTTTCAACATCTATACTCCTTAAATAAGAGTACACTTGGCTGCTTTATAAGCAGCCTCAGATATAATTTGTTTAAACAAAGTTACTCCTGTCTGTTGTATTCTGTCTACATGAGTCAAGGCCTTCGAAGGCATCCAACATAGAAGGTACTGACCCCAGTCATGTGTGGTAGCCAAAGTAAGAGGATTCAGAGCTCAGGATCAATATTTCTCATGAAATCCAATTGAGAGCTTTTTTTTATGAGCACATGCTGTAACCTGAGTATGTTTTGATTTCCTTTGGCCTTAATACAGGATTATGAGACTTTTCTGCTTTAATCAATTATATTGTACAATTTTGCTCTTACACACTTATGTTGCACTTCATGGTCCTAAATAAAAAAAGAGGACAGTGGTGGGTGTATTGGCAAGGATATTTTCAGGGCCCTTTTTAATTTGGACTCGTTGGTCTCTGTGCATTAAGACAATGCGGTTTAAGCATTCTTCCCCAGTTCTTCAGACTGTAGTGAGGGATAGGAGGTGTTGCTGCTAAATGAGAGTCCCTTCTGCAGGTTTGATTTGTGAATTCTGCCACCTTTATATTTGTGCTATTTCTAAAACCTGACCACTCCTCCTTCACCCCCCCAAAAAAAGCAAGCTGGTTTTTGGCAATTTCTCTCTGTTAATGAAGCTTCTCTAAATTCAGGTTGGTCAACAACAGGAGTGTTGGTACAGTTTGAAATCAGTGCCATTCTGGGAGATCCAGGGTTTAGAGGAATACCGTCTCTCCTCTTTCTGGTGCTGCTTTCTCAGTCCGTCCTCCCCTTTGTACACAATGAGAAGAAAGCTGATTTTCAACTTGCTTTTGTAGAAATTCTTTCCTCATAACCTCTCATCTCCAATGCCAAACATATCTCAATATTCTATCTGGGATGTCAAAAATGGTACATGAAAGTTGGCCCTGAAATATATAAGAGCAAGGAAATAGTCATAAATCTAAGTCTTTAAAATGCATTTGAATTGCTTCTGAATAGATCTGAAATTCATTTTTCTTTCTTTCAAGCTGTTTTTATCTTTAGACAAGTGTGTTGGATAAGGACAGAGCTGGTACTGCATTGACAAACACATTTTGAGATCCTAGAAATTTTACTCATCGACCCAAAAAAGTGTTCCCTCCAGAACCATATACATAGTGAAGTGAGGAATGGACTCAAATTGAAACTTTGAAATATCACAATCAAAACTTACCTAAATAGATGTTTCCTATTCATGCAATTATGAGTAAAATTATGAGACACATGTTTAGTTTGGTTTTCCATTTCACTATTCCCCTGAGAACTTCCTGTAGTCCTATCTTCCACAG